GAGAACGCTACGCATAAGATTCTTGACAAAAAAAGGTTTAGATTTGTATGCATGAGTGAGAGTTAGTAATATATGTGCATAGATCATATTTCAGTAAATTCTGTGAAACTAGTTCATTTTTGCCTATTAACCTTGAGCAGATTAATGCTTGTAAGAGAAATGGGCATGTAGAAGACACTAGCATGAAATAATGTAACATTTGGGTGTTTTCTACCACTATTCCTTGAACTCTGGAATACTAACTCTGGAATTATGCATGAGGATTAGATAAAAATGGAGGAAAGAATATAAGTGTCAAGGGAAGCAGCCATATATATGCAATCTTAGCCGGTATATTTTCATCAATAACCGGCGGAATCAGCTACTGCCTTACAAGGGCTGGAGCAAAAGCATCTGATCAGCCACTGTAAGATTGCTGATTGCTTCTTTGTAAATTTAAGTCCAGCATGAAAATGGTTTATAAGTATTCTCTGCGCTTTTCAATTATGTTTCACTTGATTAATGCTATAAACTTTAAGCAAATATGAAATTGATGATAATGTGCTATTTCTTTTTATCTTCAAAAGCATAAACATTGGAACATTGCCATACTATCCCATTATGTTCAAGACCATTTATGTAGCTTAATTCTTTTTCAGTTTCAGATGGGGTTTATACAAAGAGCATAACCTTTAATTAAGATGTCTATAACTGTTTCAGTTCCATGATTATCAAGGCAAGAAAATATTAAAAGCATGTAAGAGATTATATGATATTATGTTGCATTTCTAAAATGTACATCATACAAGGGGGTAAACACAACATTCTATTGCATCCAAGTGCTATCTTGGAAATTTCAGAAAAATTATTTTTATGTAATAAAACTACCTAGATAAATTCTCTGTTCAATTTTCAGGTTGACAGTCTTTTCATTTGGTATACTGGCTAGTCCTGCTTCAGGAATTTGTCTTTTTGCCCTTGAGGTAAGTTGATGTCATGGTTGCAACGCTGTGCTTTATAAAGTTGTTATTTCGAGTCTGCCACACTCCTTGTTTAATATATCACTGATTGCCTAGCAACTTGAAACCCTCATTTACCTCTTTTTTTAATCTTTTATCTTTATTTTATTCAAGGGAGGGGGAGGGCAGATTCAAAATCTTGCCATTATGATGTTATCCAGATTTATTTTCTGTTACCAATTCATAGAGATCTATCTGATTATAAATTATTAACAGATGCTGACTTTTATGACAAATGAAGGATTATTATGGCGGTTATTATTTTCTTGTTGAATTTATGGTTATGAATTGATGCTGATTATGATATCTTTTTCTTACAAACAAGTGGGCTAACTGGAGAGGGGCTGTTTCTGGTGCATTTCCAGTGTTATCTAGTATAATTTGTTGAAGCCTTGGCTCAGTCTAGACAGATATCTCCTCTAGATTATTGTTATTAGTTTCTTTACAATTTTTTGGGTTGAATGCTTTGACTTCGTAATGGCTGTGAGTCATGCATTTGGCTTCAATGCTTTCTGGTTATTGTTCTTTTGATGTTATATGCAATTTTTAGGTGTGCTAAATATTTACTTTTTTTTCTTTTCTTTCAGGAGTTTGTTTTCCCGGATGTTTATTCATTTTCAGTTATGCTTGTACTTGGTGTTCTGGCCTTCTTTGCAGAGGTGCTGTTCTGAACTTTTCTTTTCCCTATCTTTTTCTGTCACACACAGAATTGTGATGCAATGAAGCATGCACTCAACTATAGACTTCTTTTTCTCTGATAATGCTCCAGCAGTTATGGACTTCTCAACTTGTGTGGTCAATTTCAGGTATTTTTAGCTCGTGGACTGCAGCTTGAGAAAACCGGCAAAGTTGCAAATGTTATATACATGGAGGTAACTTTCCTGTTTGAATGTAATTATCACTCGCATGATTTTGATTTTTAATTGGGATGGAAAGTGCATGTAAAATGTGATGGGAATGAGATCTTGTAAAAGTATGGGCTGTTTGGTATGAGGAAACAGAACACAATTGGAAAATCTAGAAAGTGGCAATAATTACTATATTAAATCAGATAAAGAAACAAAAGAAAATGCTTCATGAACATGAGAAGAAATTTTGGTTCAAATGTTAGCCACGATTCATCAACACTCTGGAGAACTTTTTAACCACAGAAAATGCTACCCAGTTTATTCTTGTTTTTCTTTGTTTCAGGCTGCCCTGTCACAATTATGGGGCATTGGTTCCTCAAGGATTGCTCTATCGTTTGGTCGAATTTTCGGATGTCTGCTTATTTTCGTTTCTGTTTGTTGCACCATGTATATTGGACCCGATAAAGAAATGGAATGAAAGATACAATTTCTTCTGATTTGTTAAAAGTTGGGCACCTAATTTGTTGTACTCAACCTGTTCATTTGTAGAGTTCTTAAAATTGTATACATTGTTACAATGCAAGATAGCAAGCAAATATAGAGCCTTCGTTTCTTGATTCACCTTTGATTCTTTTTACCACCTCTCTAATCTTGCAACAACAACTGATTGACAAGCTTATCCTTATAGATGCTAACAAATAGAGCCTTCATTTCTGGCAAATGGATCACAATTACAGGTATCTGGGAGCAGTCACCAACAGTAGACAATTTCTAGTCGTTGATGCATGTGAGCCCCGTATGCATTAATGACTGGGAATCGACCACTCCAATGTTGTCAACTGATCCAAGCACAACTCAAAAATATTTCTTCGTATAGGAAGAAGAGTTAATCAAGTGCATAACTGAAGTTTATAATTTGGAGAACAAACTTAAAAATCAAAGAGAGCATTATTGCCCAGAGGCAGAGATGTCCTTGCTGGATTAATTGATAGGGAGACCGGAGAGTGACAACTCAGTTGCAGAAAATTGAAATCCTGAGCAGCTGAGCTGACTTTATTCTCTTTTTGATATGCTGATATTTTCTTTCTCGGGCACATAATTGATGATAGTTGTTGCCATAAATGAGTAAGGAAGACAAGTCATTACATTACTCTCTTGATTGTGCCCCAAAAATTTGGAAAATAAAGAGAGAAAATATATCATCAAGTGAGACTGAAAACAATATAAGACGTCCTTACCTTACTAATATCACCTCATATGTTAAAAATAACAATATTATATCACGTGACCATATACTGTACTATTTTATAATCTCTTCACAATAACAGACATGTATGCACAATATACCATCCAACACTTGCATAGCAATGTAATTTTCAATAGTCTCTTACAATGGCAGGACTATTTTAACTGGTGGTGGAGGTGGTCCTCTTCTTTTTGGTTAAGTACAAGCAATCATACAGCATACAATCTGTCCTATTTGTTCGTAAACCTCAATTCAAGTGGTGTTACCAATAAAAGGACTTACAAATACCCAAAACATCGGGCCTATGTATTTTATTTTCTAATACAGCTTGCTTTCTTGATTGGAAGGAGATGCTCGTATTTTCTGCAAATTACAGTTTGGCACATGTACAACTTGTCTTTAGTCACGGTTAGACACATGTGCAAAACTAATTTATAAAAAATACAATAAGAAAAATTTATATACGCATGTTATACTGCCATTAGTAGGAATATAAAAGTTCCAGCTTACAGGAAAAGGAGGGAAATATTTTCCTTTTTTTATTTATTTGAAAAAAATCCAAAGCTGAAGGCCCCCTATATTTTAGGCTGGCAATGCATCCAAACCAAGCCAAATCGACAATAGAGGAAGAGAGAGAGAGAGAGAAAGGGGGGTTTTTTTTAAGAGATTCTTATCTTGTAAGTTTGAAAACGAAAGAAAAGCTCAGATATGGTTTTGGTTAGAAATGGGTTGTGTTTGTTTTTTTTGTTTTTCAAATTCTTCCACGGGAATCGGATTTTTGTGGGGAATGGAATGTCATGCTCATGGTGGGAAACTGGGAAGTGGGAATAAAAAAGCAGAGAGAGAGAGAGAGAGAAGAGGCAAGTCTTCTTGGCCGAAAGCTCACTTACCCGCACGTGCAAACCTCGCAACCCTTCCTTCTTTGACTTTATGCTGACCCTTTATAAATTTGGTCCCCCTCCTGCCACATATTTACCTCCATTGCCCTTCTTTAGCAGGTCCAGCACATATATTCTCTCACTTTTTTTCTTTTTCTTCTTCCATCGCAAACGAAATAGAAGGGAAATATCCAAATTCAAAATCAAGAACAATTAATGTTATTAAATGCTTTTCAACTTCAATGGTAAATCATTCACCTGAAAATGAGCCATAATGCAGCTCAACAACTTGCTCTACCTACCTACAACCATCACTCACTCTGTATGTATTACCAACAATGACCTTCTCTTAACCAATAGTTGAAGCTCAACTAGAGAGCTCTAGTTGGTTTGTCAACTACTTTGTTAGTTACACGTAAATAATTGTTGATCGTTGATTAATGTAGAACTCAAATATACATGTGACGACTATATATAATTAGTATTTTTCATTTAATAATTACACTTGTTAATCTTTGATTGATGAATCCCGCCTCAATTGAAAGCCCCGAATCATTCGCGTACACGTGACAATTATGATTTTCTAACTTGTTCAAAAGAAAGTTGTGGGACAAGAAATGAAAAATTATATGTAACCCAATGCTTGCTCAGTCATAATTGGTAGAGTGATGAATGCTTATTGGAAAAAAAACATTGGAGGGTGATGTTATGGATGTACTCAACAGTCATAGAGTGACAGAAAATCCTTTCCTTGGGCCCCCAAAAACCTTATCAAAAGATTTGCCGTACAACAAAAAATGGGGATAAAAGCGTCTTTTTCGGAGTTATTCCATCAGAAAATTGTTGGAAGGAGCAATGGCCCAAATGGGAAGGGTAAATGTGTAATCTGAAAGACTGTTTAAAGGAGCAGGCTAGCCGACGACAGCAGAGAGAGCGTCACAGAGAGGCTTTGTGTTATGCTTTGCATGTTGTTCCTTCTTTCTTTTCTCTGTGCCTTTATTTATTTTTAGCTCACTTGCTTTTATTGTGTGCTCACTTTATATCTGCACTTTACTTTGTTATTCCTTCTTCTTCTTCTTCTTTTGATTCCTGGGTTGTGTGGAAAACACTCTAAGCTCATCTGCTTCACCAATGGCTGACATTACCCACCTTCCCATGGAACAGCTCCAAGACCTTGAGTATTGCATAGATTCCAACCCTCCTTGGGGTATGCTCTATCTCTCTCTGTCTCTTGTTTTCACTTTCTCTACACTAAGTATCTGAATAACAAATGGGCGTGTATGTTGCAGTAGCTATCTCTTCTCTCTCTCTCTCTCTCTCTCTCTCTCTCTCTCTCTCTCTCTCTCTCTGCCTCCATTTTTTGTAATCTGGTCATGGGGTTTTAGTGCCAAAGAACATTGTTTTAGAGATATGGGATTGTGGGTTTTAAAGATTTTGTTGTCAAGTTTGAAGCTTTAGTGCTTACTGAGATTGTAGTTACTGGTATTTGATATTTCTTCATCGACTATAATTTGAAGCAATGTGGCATTATTAACTTGACATTGTGTGTATGAGAAACATTTCTTTTCAAGAAAACCTTGTTTCTTTGCGTGTATTTCTATAAGTCATGAGAAAATCTTGGAATGTATCGCTTTCAAACTGGTGGGTCATGCAGTTTCATTATTTAGAACTTGGAACAGATTAGTTTATATGCTTTGTTTGGTTGCTGGGAATATTAAATTTGTAATTGGTTGGTGTAAGTTGATGTCACATCGTGCTTGACCGAAAATAAAAAGGTTAATGTGGCATCATTACAAGTTAAAAGGACTTGCGTCGTGAAGTGCAGCAACATATTAGGAAATTCTCAAGTTGAAGCTGTAGCTTAAAGTGCTACTGATGGTGTAATGAGTGTGTCTTCTCATTTCTTGGTTACCAAACAGAGGTTTGGTAGTCATCAGGGTCATACTTTATGTTAAGAATATAGTAATGTGTGGACTGTAGTTACCAATTTGCCCATCAGGGCAAAGCTTCTCCATTGCTTGTGGAACTGCTGCTGATTAGTACTTTTGTTATTGTGTATCATTAGTGGCAAGAAGGATGATGTTGGAATTGTGACTGGCACCCACGTGTTAATAATCATGCTTTAGACATAGCATCTAATGATAAATATGCGCATTCTTAAGGTTTAGTACTCAAGACCAATTGGCAAAATGAAAAAAGTAAAGAAATGTTTGTCCTGTAGGATAGATTATTGGGGGTATTGAGAAAGTATGCAAGTTGCTTATATGTATAATTTTTAAATTTTGTTTTGCAGTTGAAACCATAGTTCTAGCATTTCAAAACTACATCATGATGCTGGGTACAAGTGTAATGATTCCTTCAGCCCTTGTCCCTGCAATGGGTGGAAGCGATGTAAGCCCCTTCTTCTTGCAAACTAACGATTTTACTCTCGCAATCATGTTTAGTCACTGTGATAAAATTTTATTCTTTCTGTTATCTTAAACCATTTTCTCGTTCTCAACCAGGGTGATAAGGCACGAGTCATACAAACACTCCTCTTTGTAGCTGGAATTAACACACTTCTCCAAGCACTTTTTGGAACCAGGTTGCCTACTGTAGTTGGAGGCTCCTTTTCTTATGTCATTCCCATAGCTTATATTGTAAGCGACTCCAAACTGCAACGGATTATTGAACCCCATGAAGTAAGTAACTCTCCTAGTACTCCTCTTCACCCCCTTGGAAGTGTGTCTGGGAACCTCGTGGAAATAAATATATGCATCAACAATACCATGGCATTTTAATGCACCAATTAAGAAAGAATTCGTATACTGATTTACTATTAGCCGGCTTCGGAACGGCTAATACCTTTAGTATTAACCTCTTCTTAGAGGCGGACCCATGGTTTCACTGCTGGGAAGGACCTGCCTTTGAGAGGAATATGCAGAAAGGAAGCTTAATTACAAGCTTACCCTGCTAAATGTGATGACTTCCAGAAGTGAAATCATTTAAAATGCATGATATCAAGGAGCTTAACATTGGTTCAGGAATCTTTGCATAAGCCGTTGGCCTTTTTTTTCCTCTTCTTTTTACATGTATATCAGTCATTTCAAGACTGAATAGGAGGTTAGATAAGTTCATTTGATTCATAAGTTTTGTGACTCTGACATTACAATTCATGTAAAATGTAAACCTCAATCCCATCAGATATTTCTGCATTTATTTCCTATTCAGCAATTGTACTTAAGCACCTTTCTGATTTGGTAGGGTATTGAAAGAGATCTTCCCATGTCATTGGTTTGCAGAGATTTATTCAAACAATGCGTGCTATCCAAGGAGCTCTAATTGTAGCTTCAAGCATACAAATCATTCTGGGTTACAGCCAAGTTTGGGGTCTCTTCTCACGGTATGCTAATAGTAGAAGATATAGTGAAAAGTTTAAGCTTCTAAATCAAAATAGATTGACAGCATCATATGGGTTATTTTGCAGGTTTTTCAGTCCACTTGGCATGGCACCTGTAGTTGGATTGGTTGGCTTGGGATTGTTTGAGCGGGGGTTTCCTGCGGTAAGTTTTTCTATGACAATGTTTTGTTCCATTCAGTTGACCCCAAATGAGCTTACATGTCAAGTGGTTAGTGCCTCTTTAGGAGCAGCATTTCTTTTTCTGGACAATCACCATCGATTTGTTCTAGAATATTGTACAATTCCGGAAGCTAACTTCAAGAAGGCCAATCTGAGGATTTCAGCATATAAAATTTTCACCTTTTTCGATAGAGTATATACCCTCTCAATGAATTTTTCAATGAAATTTGAACATCCCATCTTTTCCTGCAGAATCTCTACGTAGTATTTTAATTTTCAACCGAATTATTAAACCTAATGAAAACTGAACATCATGATTTTCTAGATGAGCATACTTCATGTAGTTTGTTCTTTTTACCATATATCTGATGGATACCTCATATTCCACTTTTGCAAATTTTGTAGTTCCTTCTCTTTGGAAATTATGCTAGTATATAATTTCAATATTTGTTTCAGTTGGGAAATTGTGTGGAAATTGGAATTCCAATGCTGTTGTTGGTCATTGGTTTGTCCCAAGTAAGTGCTTTTGCATTTTGCATTATCATTTCATTGACACTTGTATTAATCATTTCTTTCCTTCATGAGAGTTTTTTTTGTTTATTCTCAGTATCTGAAGCATGTGAGACCATTTAGAGGTGTCCCTATTTTTGAGCGGTTTCCAGTATTGTTTTGTGTCGCAATCATTTGGATCTATTCCCTTACCTTAACTGCCGGTGGGGCTTACCGTGACAAACCTGTTAGAACTCAAATCAGCTGCCGTACAGACAGGGAAAATCTCATATCTACTGCCCCATGGTATGCCAAAGAAGAATTTGCCTTCTCATAATGTGCCTTCTGAATATTTTCTGGTTTTGAGATCTTTTCTTATTATGCCATATCAGGTTCAAGTTCCCATATCCTCTGCAGTGGGGTCCTCCTACATTTTCAGCTGGTCACTCATTTGCAATGATGTCAGCTGTTCTTGTTTCAATGGTTGAGGTATTTATTATTATTATTATTATTATTATTATTATTTTTAATGATTTGCTACATTGCTTCACTAATCAACGACAAGCCTTTGTCTGCCATCTTTGTTATGTGGCTTAAGAGTTGGGAATATGTCAGCTTCCTCTTTTTACATGTCTCTGTAATAGGACTGACTGCCTCATCAAAAGCACTTTTTGAGTCCTGACAGTTACTTATATATTGCAGTCAACCGGTGCATACAAGGCAGCATCAAGATTGGCGATTGCCACTCCTCCTCCTGCTTATGTATTGAGCCGTGGTATTGGCTGGCAGGTGAACTAGTCTCAAACACTTGTGACTTTTGTGGCATACATCAGGCTAGCATCGTGAATATAATACAAAGATTGAAGATATAGAATATTGTTTAGGCAACTCTCATTTAACAATTTTTTTTTTTTTTTCTGGGGATCTAATGGTGATTCTAATATGTTGACTTCTAAATCAATATGTGCATTGCTTAAAAGCTGACTGGTTTTTTATATGTATCATTTTCAGGGAATTGGCATTTTGCTTGATGGACTTTTTGGTACAGGCACTGGTTCTACTGTTTCTGTGTAAGACACCACAATAGAGTTCTGCAAAGCTTGTTCTGTGGTCTTCTCCCATTTAAAGGTTTTTTTGACTAAGATCTTGATCATCTGTACCAGGGAAAATGTAGGACTTCTTGGACTGACCCGAGTTGGAAGTCGTAGAGTTGTTGAAATTTCTGCTGGATTCATGATATTCTTCTCAATCTTAGGTCAGTATTATTAACCTTATGAGACTCAAGGAAGTTCAGGTCCTAATTGGGAGCAATGCAATTCTTAGCTGCTCAATGGATCTCCTTTTATATGGAACTTCCACATCTAATGGCTTGGTCTTGAAAGAAATCTAAGAAAGACTGTCATGTTCTTTTCCATTCAAAAGTTAAGGGTTTGAAGAGAAATCAAGTCTTTGCCATTGCATTTTTCTCTTCCCTTTCGATTTTAGCTATAGCATTCAGGTGTAAAGCTAAAGTTACATATAGTAGTCAGCCTTAATGGTTTCTCATTTGGGATTCAAAAGATAGTCCATGATTAATTTCCCTCTCTAATCCTTTTGCAGGTAAATTTGGGGCTGTATTTGCATCTATACCCTTCCCAATATATGCAGCACTATATTGTGTTGTCTTCGGCCTCGTGGGTATGTCACAACGCAAGCTTAAGTAAGATTACTTATTATTTTCTTCTTTCACTCACTTCACAAATACTCCTTGCCTGTTTGCAGGTTCAGTAGGATTGTCATTTCTTCAGTTCACAAACATGAACTCTATGAGAAACCTCATTATCACCGGGCTTTCCCTGTTCCTTGGGATATCTGTCCCTCGGTTCTTCAACGAATATTGGAATCCTTCGCACCATGGTCTCGTCCATACCAACGCTGGATGGGTGAGTAATATCCTAACAAAACTCTAGTATTCATTCCGGTTAAGGTCTAGGATATAACTGGATATCTGTAAATGAAGCACATGTTCATCTTGCTTGAACTAAAATACAGAATGGCTTTTGCAACTCTTTGGCCATTGATATTATAATCTTGTGTCTTTGCAGTTCAATGCATTTTTGAATACCATATTCTCCTCTCCTCCGACGGTGGGGTTGATTGTGGCGGTGTTTCTCGACAACACCTTAGAGGTGGAAAAATCAAAGAAAGATAGAGGAATGCCATGGTGGGTTAAGTTCAGAACGTTCAGAGGAGACAACAGAAATGAAGAGTTCTACACTTTGCCATTTAATCTCAACAGATTCTTCCCACCTACGTAGCAGGCAGGATTTGGATGAAAGTTGAGACCAACACTTGAGCCAAGCTATCCAATTCCAATATTCTAACAATGATTGGTTCATCTCCATTAGTGTAGTAGTAGTATTATCCAATCCAAGGATTATCTTAGCAAATGCGAATTTTTCTTCAGCTTCACTATTTTTTTTGTGGGCCTCTCTGTCCTTAGGTCCAGAATAGGAGATTGTAGAGCATTTCGTCCATGTCTTCTTCAACCCAAAATAATGAAATAATATAATTTCCTTCTTTCTCTAACAAAAGTTTAGAAAATTTGCAAAATACCTGTTAGAGCATCTCCAACCGATATGTCAAAAGTGCCACATAGACATTTAACAGCTAGAAATAACATCTCACCTCACTCCAACCGAATTGTCAAAGCTGATGTGGAATGAAGGCTGGAGGTTCAGCTGTTACTTTTGACATCCCAAAAGCAAGATGTCAAATGAATATTTTATTATTTTTTAAAGACAGCTGGTTGTTACTTTCATTTATTATCTTCCTTTTTTATTTTTTTTATTCTTTATCTTGAATGATTTGACAGTTACAATAATTATTTATTTGATATATCGGGTGGAGTGTAAAACTATGTAAATGTCAAATTGCCACATCCCTTGGAGATGCTCTTACACCGTTTGGTGCAATTGCTACTCCAGGCTGGATTCAAGTTCTAATATCCGGTGTAGTGTGTGAATTTAGTATATTTTCACTCTCTCAATAAGAAAAGGTTTGGAAATAGTTCTGAATTGGCATTTTAGAAACACCATAGCTTGATCATCAAATGATTTTATATTTGATTTGTGTCCCAAGTAAAATTGATTTAGTTTGATTCAGAGGAAGATTGAACTAAAACTTCTGGTCTGCCATCATCACAACTAGTTTGTTCTTCCTGGTGAAAGGGTCAATTTTGATTTCACCTTGCCACTATATTTCACGATGCCAATCAGTTTAACCCATTCATTGACGCAATGCATAATTTAGTCATATTAAACATTAGATTTTATGTTGACGAAATTGAAACCTCGGAGCCAATTTTGATAATGATTCTAACCTCGGAGAGTAAAATGTAGTTAACCCAATTTTATATTTTAAATGATTATTTTTTTATAAGAATGCATTGAATGATTATATCACTAATTGGGTATGGTACAAGATTTTAGCCCAAAAAGCCATTTCTGTACAAACCTTGTGAAAATGGCAAAATAAATCACCCCAAAATCAAAAAAATTCTTTTCGTAAAAAGTTGGAAGCAAAAGGAATGCAATATATTTTTTTTTTGAAAAATGAAAAAAGTAAAAATAAATTTTCTGAAGCCTCAGAAAGCCAGTCGTTTTTCATCAAAGAATATTCAGTCGGTAATTCCAACTAAATCATAAATCCTCATTGGCTTCAATTACTCAATAAACAAAAATAAAAGACCAACAAAATTTATAAAAAAAATTAAAAAAAATGTAATCGCAGTAAATCGGCTCCGTGGACCAGAGTGTATTAGGATCCACAGGTTCCTATCAGAATGCGAAAGGGATCGCTGTTGGTTCAATGTAGCATCGTCGGTCAAGGCTATTTCAGCTACCGGCGACGTGGCATCATAAAGCCCTGAAACCCCAAATTGAGAATAGAGACCAGCGGCTGCAACAAGTTTAACCAATAGAGCGAGGAGTCGCCAATTCATGGAAGATACAAAGAGAGGGGGCTTTATATAGGAAAAAGTAATGATCTTTTGTAAACCCTAATTCCGAATATGGGCTATATTTTGGATCAATATAATAGGCCTTGTAAATTGGGCCTAAAGAACGGGTCTTACAGTTCGGTCCACTCGGCCGGCCCGAGCTCACCTTGCAAAGGTTTGAATTTTTTCAGCGCATTGCCGTCTCTGAAAGCAAGAAGAAAGTGGTGGTTGGAAGGCCAGAGCAATTGTGCTGGAAGGGCGTGTTTGGGTGTGTGGGAATGTCGATGGGGAGTGACAGCACTTGGGTTGGGAAGAAGCCTCTGAGACGCATCGGAGGCATGTCCGACGCTCTCTCCATTGCTTCGGATCTTGGCTTTTCTGTTGCCGCTCCTCCTACCCAGGTAAAGCCTCAGTCTCCTTTCTCTATGTCTTCCATGTCCAATTTCTCTTTTTTGCTCACTTTGGCTCATAATAAGCTCCACCCAGTTTAGCTTTTCCTACTTCTTTTGATATTTAAGCTTAATTTTAGACACCCAATTGAAATAAAATGAAAGAACCAAGTAGGGTGGTGTTGGTATGGGCATATAGGTGGAAATTAGTTTTTCTAAAGCTCTTACTGTAGCCAGTAGAGGGTATAGATGAATTATTTTGTCAAATGTTTCATGTTTGTGCCAGAGCAAAGCTGATCATTTGGTCAATTACAATGTGGACACTTCATGCTCCGAATTTCACTAAAGCTCAATCATATTTTTGATGTAGGAAGAGCTTCAGAACCTATCCACTACTACTGGTGAGAAGGGTGATGACTTGATAAAGGTTCTGAGGGAACTTACCTCTGTACAAAGAAAAATAGCAGATCTGCAAGTTGAACTTCAAGGGAGAAAAGTGAGCTATTAGAGTCTCTGCTTTACTGTTTTCAGTTTACTGCGTTATCTTATCTGTTGAACTGACTTGGTAATTATATTATCCTTAGGATGATAAGAACGTAGCACATTTGACACATGCGAGTGAAATGGAAAAGAAGTGTGAAACTTTAGCAAGGATTACAACCATATTGAAAGATGTGATTCAGAATAAGGTAAATTTTATGTGGTATGTTGTTGTGTTCTTGAAATGGATTTGCTGAAGTCTCTCATTCTGTATGTTAGATTTCCATTGTCTTTGTCGAACCATATAATGATTTAACATTAAGTATCATTTGCATATTCTGTACATTGTGCATGCTTCGATATCTGTAATAGTTCCTAACAAAGTCATCCTGGAGAATAATGAAATGGACTATAACATCTCTTTTGGAGTGGTTGCTGCGTTTCAATTTTTTTTTTTTTTTTTTTAAAAGATAATTTTATTTCAGAAAAGAACAAGCACCAACGGAACAAGAGGTGGCCAAGAAGGCCGCCACACAAAACAGAAAGGCTAAAAAAAAACTCTACATTACAAAACTACGGCTTTCCAATCTAGATGGATAAGCTGAAAGCTAATCTCCCTAAATTCTGCTGAAACAGACGCCGATAGCAATGCCCAGAATCGGATATGATCCCAAAGCTGCTCTACCTCATCCTCAAAAATTCTCCTATTCCTTTCCCCCCAAATTACCCAAAAAAATGCCACCATGGCACAATTTCCCAACACTGAACCCTTCCTCTTACCACCAAAGAAGTTCAATCTAGCTTCAAGCACCGCACTACACGATGCGAAGCTACCCCACGTTAGTCCTGCCACCTGAAACAAGTTAGCCCACAAGGAAGAGGCAACAGGACAAAGCAGAAACAGATGATCCACAGTCTCGCTGTCCCTTTTGCACATAACACACCAGTTAGGAGAAAAAACAGTTGCTGCGTTTCTTTTCAAGATTATGCTCTAGTGTCGAGGCTAGTAATATAGTGAACTGATGCTTTGGCTATCATGCTCTTTGAAAATTGAATTCTGGTGGACATAGAAGAACAAATTTACACACTGGGTTTCCTCTTTGGTACCACATACATATGTGTATATTATGGCATAAATAGTTGAATTCATTCACCTGTATCTTTGTCTCTCAATAATACCTCCTCATTTATATATATTTTTTCTAATCATTGGCAGGATCGCATCATAGCCCGTCTTCAACAACCATATTCACTCGATTGCATTCCAGTGGAAGCAGAGTATCAGGTCGGTTGCACTTTTTGTTCAGCAGTGTAAAATCCCTGTTGAATTTTTATTCTTATTCAAAGTTTGTGAATTTGTTAGTTGATTTGTATTAAAGATTCTAGGCTATGATTATATCAGAGCCATCTTATTTTGACGAGTCTAAAGAGTGTTTTTAACTAAATCCAAGTCATATTGTTGAATTGTAAGAGTGTAGATTCATCAAACAACTGTTTTGACAAACTTAAGGATTATGTGGGTATCTCATCAAGTGAAGACTGTTTTCTTAATGCTTATGGTATCTTTTGCTTGGGCCTGTGCAGAAACAATTCTCTGAATTACTGATGAAGGCTGCTAGTGATTATGGGGCCTTGACAGCATCAGTTGCAGATTTCCAGTGGAGTCAGACATTTAAGGAACCTCCTTCAGTTTGGGGGGTATGTATGCCAAAGCTTTTCATTTGTTTCCAAATTAACTGACCATGCATGTCGCGCATTTGGTTCTTCTATGTTTTCCAGTTGCATGATGTTGTTTGGTTTAGACCACATTTGATTGTTGGCAACTGCGTGAGTATGTTACTATTGCAATTTGCTGATAATAGCATTAAAGGAATTATTCGTCATATAAAATTTCTTTCCATGAAGATACAGAAGCCAAATATCAAAGATCTCATTAAGGGGTTCATGAGATTATATGATCACCCATGAAGTATTGCCCTGCCAACTCATTAATGTTGTAGAACTTTTAGTTTCATGGCATGGTATAGATCAAATAATTTCATCCCAATAAAATTTCCAGTGTCTCGTTGATTCAAGAAATTTGTTACATTGCATGGGAAGCTACTTCTGCATGATATGATCCTCATTTTGTTTAACTGATGCAGGAAATGCTTCGTCCAATTCCTGTTGCCTTAGCATCGTGCACTCGGTTCTTTGAAGCAATGTCTGCTATGAGGGAATCATTTTCAACACTTCAGCATCTCAGAGTTGGTCATAGTGACGCATCTTCACCGATAACACCAGGCAAGGATTCCTCCCGAAGAGTACCAGGGGATTCCGAATGTGTAACTCCACCGCCTTGGAGAACTGAACCAAGCTTTGATGACTTAGCTATCAGAAGCTCAAGGAGGCCAGAAGTCGAGCACCAAGAAGCAGACGATGAAAACAGTGAGGGGGATGGAACTAGCCACAGGAGATTATCATGGCCTCCTTCAGTTAAAAAGAGTGGTGTTTAGTCAATTTGCTGAATCTCGTTGCGTGTTACTCAATGTATGTTTTTGTGTGAAATAGTCATTGTAATAATAGAAGTATGCAAAAAAAAAAATCCAATACAATTATACACATTGAGACATTCATTAGTTTGTGCAGCTATCTATACATGTATTCTATTATGTCGAAATGTTTCAGTGATGCCATCTGACTTCTCCCATTTTAATCTTTCTGGGCCTGTACGTCAGATAACTGCTGGGTTTTGTACATTAGTTTGAAATGTATGCTTGAATGATAAGGCAGCTCATGCTTATGACAAAAAAAAAAAGATAAGGCAGCTCATGCTTGCTTTTATCGAGTATACTATGGAAGTGGATTTGATGGGATTTTCCCATCACGACTAGGTGTTGATTTGCTTTCGGCCTTTTCCTAGAGGACTTCAAGAAGACACCAGCAGCTTCTGATTAGTTCTATGCAAGTAGATGATAGTCTCTCTGTTTTGAGGTAAAATTGATGATAGTCAATTTTTTTCCCTTTTTGGACCAATTTATTCGTTATTGTATAACTTCCGAGTCTGACAATAATTATCGTCTGAAAATTGATTCTTATCTTACCACACCTAATATCATATGCAACAATTTTTCCTTTTTGATTTCAACTATTTTCAAGTGGGCCTTGAGTGGCATTGAAGGACATGTATGCATAGAGCTTTAATGTGAAAATGAAAGGTCATACGCGTATGCACCCATCTCAATATGCTCTCTCTGGGAAACAACTTGCAAATTTCCATGCACCTTTCACATCTACGAGCCTTAAAAGGTGTACATATGCAGAAAAAATTGTTATCACGGGCCAAAAATGCAATGACACGTAGAAAAGTTATCATGCTTATCATTGCGTTATTGATTGGGAATGGGAAAAAATAATATCTCTCTTATTTGCATGAAAATCTCTCATACATACGATACGTTGTCAAACGAGGAGAGGGAAGGAGCTAATCAAAGAATTCACCAAACCAATTCAATCTGCAGTTATGATCTCAAAAGTCAACCTCCAGATGAAAATAAAAATACATCAATTTGAAAAAACCATCTTTATTTCAACATCAAACCATCAATCAATGTTATGTTACCTTCTCGGCTAAGGAACGAACTACCTAACATCTTAATAATAACCAAGTTTACCGCAAATTACAATCAACAGCCTGTCATGCCCATAGAAAGGAAATTTACATTCATAATACCATTCAAAGTTTCTAAAAACATCATCAAACTTTGCTTAGAGTCCCTGTAAAGCCTAAAAATTGTGGGATATGTTTCAATTGCTGTTCAATGTCATTAATGATTCATGTCATTTTTCTATTGTAACATAATATCTTTTTGGCAACATGAGGAGCTAGACAAATTGACCCTCAATCAATTAGTTTTTAATCAACAACTGTCAATCATCTACGCAAATATATGAACTTAGTATTTTCTCACGAGCCTATCCTGATAACGATGAAAAATTCAAAGCGTATTTTATTGGGCCCCACAGTGACAGATCAGGCTGCAAATTACAAGAATAAAGATGAATTATCATCCAACTCCGATAACATGCATCATCCATGGCCCTTTGGGTATTTTATTTTCCAGAGAGGTAGATCTAAATTCAAAATTATGAAACTGTCATATATCCATCCATCCACATGATGCACATCGTGCTATATACGCTGCTTCACTGTCCTCTTCTCTTATTTTTATGGACAGCCTTTTAGTTTTAGCCCCTTGCTAAATATAAGGTTCCGTTCCAACGGCTCCCTGGGCCCCACCGCCAAATCATAGTTGTTCGGCTCAGATGAGGCCAATGGCATCGTGGGTCCCACTGTTAATCATTGTAATTCCTGATCGTGGTGGGTCCTTGCACCATGAGAGAGCGTAGGGTTTGGGTGCGGCGACCCATAGGGTAGCTAACAACAGACGCCGCATGTCTAGCCAAAATACATTATGGTCTAACAAATTACCAAAGTGAAAGGAGTTTAATTAGCCTAAGATATTTATATTTATGTTTCTTTTAGCCTGAAAATTCATTCTTGTTGTGGACTCAACAAAAAATCTCATTAATTATGAGATTAGAGTTCGTATCAACTACGGATACAGGTAAATAATTTCAAAAGACAAAATTGATTATAAAAATGTTGATATCAAACCGCGTGAATCCAAGAGTGAGCAAAATTCAAGTTTTATATAGAAATAACTTCCACACCATACAATTCTCAACCAACAAGGCATGATAATCACTATTGTTGACACCATAACTGACCGAGCAACTAGAAGAAACTCTAAGCAAAGCAAGAGGAGTCCCACATCGGAAATCTACAAGAAGTGAAGACTCCCTCTCACCTATAAAAGCATACCACTCTCTGTGGACGTAGCTCATTCATTAAGGGTGAACCACATATATCTTGTCTTTTGTATATTCATAAACTGGCTAAGTCCTCACATACACGCAGAAGGTCCAAACCTTCACCCATCATTCATCACACCTCATCACTAAGTTGGACTCAATCTTGGCCCAACCATTTTGAGCATCAACAGTTTGGCGCCGTCTGTGGGAATTGACACAAAAGGCTTCTGTCGTTCT